AGAGGGAGAAATTAGAGCCTAAAACCCACCCCAGGGCCTCCCATTTTACCCGTCATGCTCTATTAGCAACATGGGGAGAGAAAGTTGGCCTGGGCTGGAGGAAGCACACCCCTGGACTGAGAGGTATTTTCTGCCCTTCACTTTTTACCCTTTGCTAAAAATGGCATATTGACTCCTTTTTGTTGTTGTTGTTGGTGGTGGTTTTTTTTTGTGTGTGTGTATGTGTGTGTGTGTGTGGTTGAACAGAATCTAACTCGGGCGGGTACCTCCCTGTGGATTAAACCTGAGTGCTGGACAAAAGCATGTCAAATTGGGAGCTCTGCTCAACAGGACAAGTTTTGGATCTGAGTGTGGCTACTGGGAATTAATCCAGCAGCACCTGTAACCCTCCATACTCCATCTATTTAGCGATGACACCCTGAAATGCTGCGATGTGGGGAAAACGGTAAGGTGGCAGCTGGGCTAAGATCAGACACCATAGCAGCATTAAACCCTACATGATAGGAGCACCCATGCTCCTGAAGGGAAGGTAAGACCAGGTGTTAGTACTGGGACTGTCGCACAAGGCTGTAAGTAGAATTGTACAGTCACACAGAGGTTGCCGGCATGGTATTTTGAGGAAGCATAGATGTTGCAAATATTCATGCACCTGTATACATTCTGGCAAGAAATGGACATGGGAGTTAAGGGGGTACAGAAGAGAGGACTAGCGAATCTGCTTCACAAAATCGGCATAAGATTAAAATGCATAGCTGAGTTGATTGTCCTATTCAGAAAACACAGACAAAGGCTCCACAAACACTGGGAAGATCATCTTAAAGTTGAAGAGGATCTTTTAACTTAATACGTAATTAGCCATTAAATTTCACCAATATATCAAAGTGATTAATATAGGTACGGATGATTCATACTTATTATTCTTGTCTCCACTATGACAGTTTCTTGGAGTTAAAGATAAAATATGGAAAGGAAAACTCTAAATTATGATTGAATTAGTTTTCCAAACAGGCTGGCAAGGTAGACTCACCAGGGACAGCATTGTTACTAAGTGCAGTAATGCCTGATTCTCTTACTCAATGCTCACTGTGTTTGACAGTTCTGATCTCATAGACATCTTCTGATGAGTGGTTTTCAGGGGTGGAGGCTGCAGAATCTCTGAGCAACCCATCTAAGCCCCTTCATGTTCCTGGCACAAAGTCAACTCTGGAACTCGTAGCTCGCCTGTACTTTCATTTCTGACAGTGTCTAGAACTGGAGTTCTTAAGGGGTGATCTCATCAAAGCCCTCAAATATATGCAAGGTAATCATCTGTGGTGTAGAAATCCTGACCAAGAAGTATCTGAACAGGCTCCAGTACATGGACAACTCTGTTTCACAAGGAAAGAAATATGGCTATTGTTCCTCCTCCATGTGTCAAATAGTTTCAAATATTGCAGGGAATATAGAACACACACACACAACTAGGAAAAAAGCACATTATTTAGAATGCTTAATTAGAACTCAGAAGTAGGGTGTAGTGGGAAAAGCACAGACCAGCTCAGAGACCTGGCTCTGTGAAGTGATTGGATCTGGATCGCAGATTCTCCTCTGAATAAATAGTTCTATTGTGAGAGTAAAATGAGACGGTCCCTGTGAAGTCCAGCCGAGCGCTGGGTGCACAGGGAGGACACTGCCCCGTTGTCCCCTCCTTCCCTGAGTTCTATATGGCATCCTTAGGCCTGATATTCCCCTTCACAGCCCAGTTTGGAAAGAAATAAGACATAGGTATTGGGATTGACAACCGGGGGTGAGGGCGTATACTGCAGATAATTCTAGGGGCAAGACTGGCTTTACAAGTGTCGAGGTGCTGGATAGCACTCCCTGCCTGATGCCCCTCACAGAGTCCCACGCAGGTGCTGGAACGTCTGACGAGGCAGTTCCATGGGAATCGGCTCGGCCCGGCAGACACACACACCGGTGAGAAGTGCTCCCACTGTCTCTGTGGAGCAGAGCAGGTTTAACCAATCCAAGGCCTAAATCTTTAGCAGAGGACGTCTCTCTCAGTAAGAGAAGTGGATCTGTTGCCCGCCAAGCAGTTAAGAGGGTCTCGTTTCTGTTTTCTGGAGGAGTAAGGAAGGCCATGCTGGCAGGTTTCCATATCTATGGACAACACTTGGAGCAGGATTCAAGCTGCCCTTACTCAGCTTCAGCGTCCTTCCTGACCCTGAAGCCAGCAGAGAGCATGACCTCCGTTCCACTCATCCATCTTGTCCCACCTCGGTCCTCACAACACTGGCCCTGACAGTGGCTGCCCACACCCCGGCCATTATCCTGCACCTTCTCCCCTCATCTCCACACCCACCCGGAGCCCTTCCACTTCTCCTCTGTCTAATCACTCTTCACGTCTCTGCTCAATCCCAGCTCCTCTCTCGTCTTCCCATAGCTCAGGATTAAGATCTTCCCACCTCTTCTTTTCCTTTTCTTCTCAGCAAACAGTACTTACAATCCATACTACATTGCAATGATTCATGATAACAGCTGCAATCGTAAAAATTGATATCTATTGAGAGCAAGCGGGGGCAGCCAGACAGGAGCTGCACCCTGTAATCCCAGCTGATCCTGAGGCTGAGGCAGCAAGATCACAGGAGCTGCACCCTGTAATCCCAGCTGATCCTGAGGCTGAGGCAGCAAGATCCTGGACAACTTAGTGAGAACCTGTCTCAAAAAAAAAGACTAAACAAGGGTTGGCAATGTAGCTCGGTGGTAGAGCACTTACCTAGCATGCTTGAGCCCTGGGTTCAACACACAATATCAGGACAACAACCAAAAAAATAAAAATAAAAAGATCTGACAGTGTATCAGGCATTATACTAAGTATTTTATGTGCATTAATATTTTATTAATTCTTCATGACTCCCTTTGACTGAAGCACACAATTTTAGGTCCATATTGAGTTAACTGAAGTTTAGAAATATTATCCATGTCCAAGGTCACAGAAGTGTGAACCCAACTCAGCAACAGAAATTACACCACCACAGCCTTGAAGGACTACTTTCTGGTCCACGTCCTCCTTCTGCAGATGAGGTAAATTGCTGTTGAGAAGAACCTCAGCAATATTACTTACATGTCAAGAAGATAGTTAAACACCTGTGTCATCCAAAAACATGTGACAGAAGTCAAGTGAATGGCAATGTGGTCTCATAATTTTTAAGTGCATTTCTTAAAGAAATGCACTATTTGGATCATTGCACCTTTGTCTCTAATGCTATATAATAATTATTTAAATAACAACACATACACTGGTAGACGGTTAATTCTGTTAATTTTGGAGACCCAAACCATTGTCTACGTTTTGTTTTGTATTGTTTCTTTTGTCAAATCAGTGTTGGAATCAGTTCCATAATTAGCAAGTTCAACCTTTATCACAATATTGACTTTTGTTACTCAAGGTTTTCTCAAATTGTTTCATTCCTCCTCGGAATAGTGAGCAAATTGAAACTATGCAAAAGAAGAAAAGAAAACCACAACCATTTAAGTCCCAATTAAACTGGTCACATGTGTGTTTATTGCCTGTCAAGGCATGGGGAGCTCTGAGAGTGAGAAGTGGCAGGGAGGTGGCCCCTGCCCACCACACAGGGTGCCCTGCTCAGAGGGAGCAAAATTCGACGTCTTTGAAGACAGCTTCTGGGCAGCTGCAAGACGTCATTTCTGTATACTAATTTATGTAGCTAGGGGAGAAGTAAATTAATCATCATTATTAATCCACCGGATCGCAAGAGTCAGACCTGAAACGCCACTCCCCGGGTGCAGGAAGGAAATCATCCTTATCGCAGAGTGCTTGCTTTCTTCAGGGTCCAGGTGCACCCATGACAGATTTTGGCAACAAGAATGGTTTTCGACCCCAGACAACCCTGCCAGTTGGTTCTGCTTACTTTTGCCTGTGCCTCTTGATGAGGGGCAATTGCGATTAGACAAATCACATTGTCTATAATCTGGTCCCCTTCCCCTTAGCCATGATTCATTCTGACAAGGAAAGTTTAAAAGCAACAAGTAAAATATGATAAACAATATCCATCATTGCTTAGGGGAGCCTGGCTAAAAGCTTTCTGTCACTATTAATAACACTGTTTAGCTTTTGGCTTCCCTGGTATTGCATTAGTGGTAAATGGGGAAGCCTGGAGCAGCAGAGACTCGGGAAGGACTACCTGTGTGATCTTGGCTCTGGAGAACACTCTTCTCAGCTCCCACCCCAACCCTGAGGCACCTGCAGGAAGAGAGGCAGAGCAAACTTGGTGAGACCTGGAGACCTAGCCAAGACCCCACCCCAGCTCTTATTCCTCTCCCTGAAGGCTGCCCCGAGTCTCCCTGGCACCTGCCCGTGTGAGTGGCATTCCCCTGGTGCTCCAGCAGTGACTCTTACCCTCAGATATTGCTTCATCCTGTCCTGACCCTGGGGTTTTCAGAAACCATGAGAGAGAACGTTCCCCCTAGACCTACAAAGCTCACATCTGTCCCCAGAAATGTGATCTCCCAGAGTCCTGTCAGTTACCGCCACCCCTTGAGAGAGAGTATTTCATAGTGCTCGAGGTCTGCATGTCCAAGCCGGGCCTTACAAGTTCCTGGGGGAAGCATTCTCAAAACTGTCATTGACTGAGAGAGATCACGGTCAATCCACACAACACTGGGGCTGGGTTTTCATCCTTTCAATGAGCCAATGTCCCCATCTCCTCCCACCAAGCGTTCCCCCTCAGGTGTGCTCCCCTGTAGCTGCGACTCCCCCACCCGGGCTCTCTCTTGCACAGAGGTCCACACCGTGGCTCGGTGCTCAGAGCTGGCCCTGTCCTGGGGTCAGGGCTAGGGCCCACTCAAAATAGTCAGGATGGTCTCCAGCCCGTCCAACAGCAGCTCTTCACAACCAGAACAGCACAAACAGACAAACAGGCCAAAAACAGAATCAGAAGACAGTATTAGAAGGCACCATTTTTTAAAATATATTTTCTCATTTTACTGATGAGGTGATTAAGAGTGCAGAATGTGGGATGAAGCATGTCAGCATCAGATCTAGAGGCTGGATCACTGAATTCTGATCCCAGGCAACAGGCTTTTCCATTGAGTCATAAAAATGCACTAGGATTTTAAAAGATGGCCTATTTTTTTAAATATTTCACTTATGTACCCAACAGACAATACCTGCTCTACCTATGCCACTGGTGTGCTATGAAGATAGGCCAAATGGAATAGCGTAGGTCAGAGTATTCTATACATTGTGTACCCTGACAGACACACGTGATATTGTTATTTACTAAGTAGCACTACTGGTTATTGTTCTTTTGGTAATATGGAAATAACCCTAGACTACTACTTCATTGTGGAAATAGACTTTACTACTACATATAATCCACTGGAAAAAATGAAACAGTGGATCATTTTAAATTTTATTAAAATCTGCTTATAATCAATATTTTGGTACAAATTTAAAGAAACAGGAATTTGTTCATCACAGAATGAATCCATGGGAACTTCAATGTCTCCATGTCTCCTGCTCGTAAGTGGTCATCTCTCTACTGGCTAGTGTTTGCTGACTACACATCACGGCCAAGCTCGGGTGCTGGGACACAAGCCTCCTCCTCCTCCCGCTGGTGTCCTCGGTGGCCGTCCTTCTCATCTCCACTCTGCAGCAGCAGCAGCACGGTAGGCTGGGCTGGAGGGACCCGCCTGGCACTGTCCATGTGGTTAGTGCTTGTGGGCTGCTTGGCTGCAGGGAACCAGGAGGGCTCCGTCCCGTGTGATCTCTGATCTCCATGGATTGGCCTGAGCTGCGTCCCAGGGTCCTCGCAGGATCCATAAGCTCTGGTGTCAGCAATGGAGGATATACAAAGAAGTATTTTATAGTGCATGAGGGAGCCCCACCTTGGGCAGAAAAGATGTAACAATCAGAGATCAAACAAGAGAAAGCAGAATAAAGTCTGCCTACTCTGAAGCATCTTAATGTGCAGTGAAGGATTTCCAGAGAGCTGGCCCAGCTGGAGGACATAGGGACGGCTTTCCATGGGACATGAACCTCTCGTTGGATTTCCTCCCTGATTCCACATGGCTCTAGCCTGACAGGTACACAGCTACAACGGCACGTGGGATGGCGCCTGTGTTGTAAGGACTTCCTCCAGGGGAGGCTCATCCTTCTCTTCTCCCTGAGATCACCATTTCCCATCCTGCGTGTACTGAATGTCCAGCAGGCGCTCCTGCTGGGGTTTCCACATGGTCAGTCTGCTCTGGAACTCAGGGTAGGTTCCGTTCTCTGTGTAGTGGTGCTGAGAGGTGACAGGGGTCCAGGCCCTGAGGACTCCACCCTTATGAAGGGGTCGGTGCTGCTTCCCTGATGGGTTTCACCCTTACAAAAGAAGCACAGCCTCCCTCTGGGGGACTGGGTCCGGTCCCACAAGAGCCACCCTGGAGCTCCTCCCCTAGGGCCATCCTGGCCCCAGCCTTCCTGCCTCCTGGTAACACGTGAGGTCCCTGGCACAGTGGCCCTCTCTAGACGTCCAGCCTCAGAACCATGAGCCACACACTCCTTGGTTTATAAATCACCCATTCCAGGTACACTGCCCCAGCAGCAGGCAACAGAATAAGTCAACCACCCTCTCTCGCCACGCAGGACTTACGTCCCAGGTAAGAGGGAAGCACTTTTTTGAAAAAGGATCTTTCTGCCAGGCAGTGGCTCATGCCTGTGATCCCAGTGCCTCAGGAGTGAGGCAGGAGGGTGGTGAGTTCAAAGCCAGCCTCGGCAACTCAGAGAGGCCCTAAGCAGCTTAGTGACTCCCTGTCTCTAAAAAAATAAATAAGGGGTGGGGACGTAGCTCAGTTGTTTCTAGATTCAATCCCTGTACCCCCTTTACCCCCCAAAAAGGAATTTTCTGAAAAATAACAAGGATCATGAAGAAAATTAAGCAGAGGATGTGATCAGATAAAGAATTACAAGGCAAGGGTGTGATTCCCAAAGAGCTGATTTCCAAATACAATGATTTGCAAATACAAGGCATAAAACATTTTTTCTTCTATTATCAATTGTGTGATTTTAACCAATTTACAAAACTTTGATTCAGTTTTCTCATCTATAAAATGGAGCTATTGATAATTTACCTATTGTATTTTTAGGACTTTTCAAATCTCAAATAAGGTAATATGTATGAGCATGATTCATAGGGGCTAAATCAGACCCTATAATCATTATTTTTACATCATTATTAATAGTTTAGCAATAAAAATTAAATTCTGGACTATCCCAGAGGCTGAGCTAAAAGAGAGTGAGAAGTTCTGAAGGGAAAGCCACCCGGCCAGCGGCCGCCTTGCTGAGCTTGCCAAGTTGAGCAGAGCATGCAGCAGGGTGCTCCTAGCTGAGGTGCACTGTCGGGTGACCCCTCCACAGCCGCCCTGGCTTTCTCCCTGCTGGAACTCCAGGACTTCATGTCCCACAGAGGAACCCACTTGCTCTTTTAGCGGGTGGTACCTGAACACGGTCCCTGGAAAGGCTGGAACTTGACTCATCCAGTGATATCTCAACAGGTGCTGCCCAGGCATTGCGACACAGCCACCGCAGCATGGCCTTTGAGGTGACGAGGTATGGGAAATGTCCACCACAACATTGTCCTACTTTGTCCTGGTGCCTGCCCCACAGCAGGCCAGGAGCTTCTCACGAGTGGGTAGCAGAGCAGGTTATCTCCTAACACTTTTGCTCGTCAATCATGGATGGTGTCAGATTCCGTAGTGCCCCTGAGTTTTACCACCCACCACAGGAAAGCAGGGGCAAACCATGGACAGCCCAGGATTGGGGAGAGTATGCAAGCTAGCCCAACAGCAGCACCCACGACCAGGCAAGCACCAGGGAATGGGCGGGGCTCTCCCCGCTGTCATCGGGTGCTGTTTCTAGTCAGCCACCTGGTCCAGTTCTGGGGGTCAGCAGGGGCCCGGTTTCTGCGGCAGGTAGGTGCAGCCCTTCCCAGCCACACCCACGCCTGCTCCTGTGGCATTCCACCACATCTGGGAGTTATGCTCACTCTAGCTTCAAAGGCCTCTTCCTTGTTCCTGGATTCCTCCTCAGGGGCCTCATTCCACCCTGGCATCCAGGCCACCATGTCTAGCCACATGAGTCTGGCACTGGGAACCTTCCTGGACCAAACAGTGTCTGAGAAGGGAAAGGCTAGGACTTGCTTTTCATGACTTCAGGCCTTTACAGTGATCAAAATGCAATTTCGGGGATGCAAAGTTTAAGTTTTAAAGGGTTTTAGACTATGACAATGCAGTTGAATTCCAAAGCAAATACAAGTTGAAGGACAGAGCTCAGTGATCTGCTAAAATGTGTTTTCATAACTAAATCACCCTGTCTATACAACAGCAGCCCAAGGAAGCAAAGCCCTTTAATAAAATAGGATCATGGGTGGAATCGTCACTCAACCAACAGGGGTACCAGTGCCCCACATCTGGGATCACTGGGATATAATTTGTAGACCACCTACCCATTCTTACTTACTATTTACCACTTACCTGTTCTACATAGACTTGGTTATTTCTCTGTGACTCAGTGACCTTCAACCCAACAAGTGTACAAGACCAGCTCCCTGACAGTGGAACTGAGTCACTGTTGATTTGGCCAGAAGCAGAGCCTGATGGCACCCCTCCTGTGGCTTGGGGCACACTCCAGGAGGGGCCTCAGCGGTTGCCACTGGAACACAGGAGGGTGTGTGTAGTCAGCTCCAAGTGAGCTGGGATCCGATCCTCTGAGAAGACAACAAGGAGCGGCCACTAGACTATCACTTGATAAGTATAGGACAAACTGGAAAGACAGGGAAGATCCTGCCAGAGCAGACAGCAGACACAGAATCATGGGTGTGGGCGTCCACAGCTTATTGGAACAGCTTCTCTGCAGACGGCAAAGGGTTTTGGAGCAGGGAAGAGAAGAGACCTAGAGATACAGAAAAGGGGTTTAAGCTGTGTACAAATCAGACAGAAATACCTCACTACTATACTAAGGTTTGAATTCTAGCAGGGAGGTGACTGCTAAAGGGCTGTTGGAGGATTATTGACAGTACATTACTGTGATTTTGAGGCCAATTCTTATGCACAATGTTTGCCTTGATTTATGGAATCTACTTGTATATGCTGATCTGGATTGATCTACACATTTCTGAGAATTTACTGAACAGTTTCCAAACAGTGGGTCTATCTGGGGCTGAGAGTAGTTAGTGAAACAAAACCCCATACTAAATTACCGTCCTTTCCAATAGCATCCTGAGTTTATATACCATTTTTTTCTCTCCCAAGTTGTTCAAAGCACTTCACATACATCACTGCCTTTTTTCTAAAGTTTCTGAGACATAATTAGGTGCAAGTATTACTGTGCTCATTTTATAAATATTGACATCTGACATATTGGTTCTAGAATCTGCTGAAGATAAAATGGCACCCTGACTGCTGTGAATCGATGCATTATTACCAGTTGTTTGCATTCGAGTCTCCATGTAAATAAAAATGTTATAAGCATTTCTCTCTAATTGGTCACATACGTTGAATATTTTTACATTGACTTTACAGTTTTTAAATAAATTATACCAACACAGTATACAAGTCTCCAGCACTACAGAAACAAACAAAAAGGAGAAAGTAGAAACTCTCACCTCTCCTCGTTCATGTTGTGCAAGGATTCTTCCCCCACTGCTCCACACTATCCCTGCAGACTCCTCTTGATTCAGGGCCAGCAAAGGTGGAGCAAATTCAGAAGTAGCTTGTGTAAGGCCAGGCATCCAGGGCCAGAGAGGCAGGGGCAGAACCCACCTACGTGCGTTGAGACCTGAGTAAGGAGCAGCGGAATTTGGTGTGGGGCAGATCTCACGCTGGCAGGCCAACGAGGTCAGGTACAGTGAGTTTTCAACTCTTGCTCATATCTGTGCATTGATATCACTTTAATTGCATTAGATAAGGGGATAGGTAACCAGAGAGAGAGAGAGAAATGCAGACTGGGATATTTTTTTTTAAATGGGATCATGGTGTATTATTTTTATGAAAATTACTTTCATCTTAACCTAACACAATAAAATAATAAACTAGAGGAATCACTCACTTCACTTTTCTAAACATTTTCCTACAGAAAACACATCAGATGGTATAGAAATGGCCATGTGTATGGAGCAGTTGCCACCCTTCTGTTTCACTTTAAACCTGTCTCGGTTTCCCATGGTCTTGGTTTATTGAGAAATACACTGAAGAAAATGGCACTCTTCATGTATCCTTCCTCAGATCCTGATTTTCACAATTATATTAGTTTGCACTTTATCTTAGGTTGAGTTCTAAAGCCCTAAGTGTGGCTCAGGTTCTGCTCAGAGGCATCTGACCTTTTTTGTCTTTGTTGGTTTCCTGTGTGACTGAGTCCTCTCCATCAGCAGGAGCAGCCCTTATCCACGTGCCGTCCGTATATCTGAGTGACTTCTCAGGTTGGAACAGGAGCTGAGGACACACTCCCCCCAGGATTTCACAGACAGTGCCTCACGTTTACTGGCATTGAGGATAATACACATTCTATTGACGATTGCTTCTTTATCCATCGAGAGTTTCGTTGTTTTATTAAATAGAATTTTTCCAAAAGGAACATATGGGGCTCACATTCCTTGGGATCTTTCATGTTAGAGGATGTCTTGCTGATTCTTTTTTATAGTTTAAATTTTTTTTTTTTGATTGGGCATGTAATATTCTTGGCTCACTTTTTCTTCCCCTAAGAAATTAGTAGAAATTACTCCATTGCCAAATTGTTGGCATTGACGGTGGCTGCTGAGAAGTCTGAGACCAGACTGATTTCACCACTTTGGGGAAGTGGAGCTTTCTGCTTGGTTTACTAAAAATTTTCTTCTCTTCCTCCTTTCCTCCCTCCCTCCTCCTCCTTTCCTTCTTCTGTCTTTCCTTCTTCCCAGGTTCTGAATGGCACGTGCACGTAATTAGATTACAGATTAATCACAAGGGTTCATGGAAGATGCCCTAGTGCACAGATGGGCCACCATCGCGAATTCAGCAAGGTATCATCGAGGACCTTTGGATAAGGTGCACAGACCTGCCAGGACCAATGGAGCGCAGCTGCTTGGAGGCACCTGCGTTCACTGTTCAGTCTTTCCCGTCCCTTCATGATGACCTCACAGGAGGTGACACGCAGGGCGCCCACACTCACAGTTTTCTTGGGGTCTTCCTACAGAGCTTCATTACATAGCTATGATTGAATGTTGTTTACCTTCATGTTTCTAACTTTGCAAAGTTTATGGCCGAGTTTCGTTCACATCACCACCTGTCACTGCTGTTAACTGTCTTTAGGTGTTGTGACCTCCGTCATAGTTTCCTCATGTTTTCTTGTGATGTGTTTTGAGATTATTTCCAAGGCCAAGGGTTGAGTGTTTGCTTAACACAAGGCCTTGGGTTCAATCTCTGGTACCATGAAAAAAACTAAAAAAATTAAAAGATTTGTTCTAAGTTTTTGCATCTATAGAGTCCTGATATGAAGATTTTTGTACCCTTTTAAAAATTCCAACAGAATGAGTATCAAGTTATTTTTTTCATGTGGCCTTGACTTATATTTTCTTGACTATTAAGGATTTTAAATTCTTCTATATATGTTTATTTCCCATCTGTGTTTCTTTCTTTGTAAAATACCTGTTTATATTTGCCTGTTTTTCTGTTGAATTTTGTGTTTTTCTTATTGGTTTACAGGACTCTTCATATAACTCTTGAATTATATTTTCATCACTTGCAAAAGTATCTTCCTTCACCCAGGTACAGTGAGTGGTACATGCCTGTAATCCCAGAGGCTCAGGAGGCTGAGGCAGGAGGATTGAGAGTTCAAAGCCAGTCTCAGCAACTTAGTGACTCTGTAAGTAACTTAGCAAGACCCTGTCTCTAAATAGAAAAATAAAAAGGGCTGGAAATATGGCCCAATGGTTGAGCACCCCTGGATTCAATATCTAGGAACCCCCCAAATATTCCCTTCATTTATTTCATTTTCCTTTTTATTTTTCAGATCCTTTGGGTCCAGTGAAAGCTTTTGAAGGAGTCAGTATCTGGATGATGTTGTTTCTTAGGCTGAATTTAGCAAGATGTAGCAAGAACTAGATAAATTCAAGAGAGAAATAGTTTATAAACAGAAATGGAAGGGAATGAAGAGAAAATAGAGATCAAGGCCTTGCCATTTGGAAATCCAATTATTTCTACCCACTCCAATTGTATTAGCTAGGACTCTACAGAGGAGGAATTAAAAGCATCCTCTTTCTCTGTCTAAATATAAACATCTGTGAGTTGGTGCGTGTGCGTGCATTTACACGTGTGTGTGTGTGTGTGTGTATGTGAAGAGATATGTTATGAGGAACTGGCCCACAGGGTTATGGAGACTGAGGAGTCCCGGGCTCTGAGGCTGGGGCCCAGAGAAGCCAGGAGTGTGTCCAAGACCTGAGAGCCTCAGGCCAATGACACGACTCAAGCCCCAACCTGAAGGCACAAGAACCAGGAGCAGCAGAGGCAGCCAGTATCACAACAGTTAAGAAGGGAAACAGAGCTCTGCTTTTCTCCGTCTTTCTGTTCTATCTAAGCCCTCTACAGATTGGATGCTGCTCCTCCACACTGGGAGGGGGATCTTCTTCACTCAGTTTACTGAATTGTATGTTAATCTCTTCCAGAAACACTTCCTAGACATGCCTAACAGATAACTGGCCCACCTATGGCCCAGTCAAGTTGGCACATGGAATTAACAATCACAAATAGTAAATGAGTTTCAGAATTACGTTGCCATATGAACACCAAGTCCCACAAAAACCGATTTTTAAGTTAAACACAACAATTCATCCCCTTGTTAAAAACCAGAGGTTGCAGACAGGAGATGAGAGAAAGAGATGTTTGCAGGTACACATGGGAGTGAGCAAGACATGGGAAGACTTGGATCTCACATCAGCACTCCCCGAGGACACCCTGGGGAACCACAAAGGGCCTTTCCTGGTCACCATCACCCAGTCCCCACCTTCTCAGGGGGTCGTGAACAGTAGAATTAGGGTGGCCATCTGCACCTGTGGAAGGGCTCCACCGAGTCCATCATACACCAGGTGATGGGGCCGGCAAGGAGCCAGGGCCCTGAGGTCTGTACAGCAGCGCTGGACCCTGAGCCATGGGGTGAGCCAGAGCCTGGGGTTTGCCTGGTTGGGGGGCGCGCGGCAGCGCACGGCATTCCTCATGCTGCTAGCAGGGTTCTTCCTAGTTCTTCTGCTTTTATACAGAACACATATCCAGGACAGCCCAGAGATGCCACAATGATGGAGCTGTGCTCTCCACCAAGAACTGGTAGCTTCCAAAGGGATGCACGATTGCTTCTGTGTTCTTTTCACATGGTATTAATTGGTCCCTCAGGAATAAAACCATGAAGTGGCTTAAAGTTCAGGAAAGTTGTACTCGGACTCCTCATGTTAGCCGAGCACGGAAAAACAAATAATTTTTTTAAATTATTCTTATCACTTCCCAATTGAAATATACATCACCTAAGCCCCTATCAACAGTGAACTTCTAGCCCTCAGAAGGAGGGTTACCAGGCTAAACAAGAGGCAGCTGCTCAGCAGGACTTACAAAGCCCTCTGATTGGTTCCACCTGGGCCCCAAGCCTCAGGCCTGGACCGACATGGCCTCTGTTTCATGCCTCAGCTGCACCAGTGTGGTGACAGCTTTAAAGCTCAGGTGCCCTGGTTTCCCCTCCACGCCTCCTGCAATGACTCCCCGCAGAGCACTGGGATGGGCTGGGTCTGCCCTCTGCCCAGGCCCGCTGGAGTCCACCTAAGTACCAACAAGGTGGAGAGCTGAGGAGGTTGGGAGCCAACACGCCCACAGCAGGGGAGGGGCAGGTCCCAGGAAAGCCACCGCGGTGGGCTTGCCCATCAGGAGGGCGCCGGCCGGAGAGCAAGTGGAGCTTTCTGAAGGACAGGTGGCGAGGCCATGTGGTGACATGAGCCTTAGAACAGCGTTGCAAGGAGCGAGCTCGCCCGGGTGTGTCCTTTTTCTAGCCCCACTCAGTCGGACTGATGGGCCAGGGGTTACTTTCATTGCTGACCGTTCGCATGAGCCTGGCGCCATTGCCTCTTTGTCGTGGGAGCACCTCTGTGGCGGCCCCCTCAGAACCAGGGCCGCTGAGTGCTCCGGGGTGCACACCCTGCTCCTCAGCACGGCCTCACGTGCCCTTCTTCACTGCCTCGGAGAGTCCCCAAACCTGCCGAGTTCCATGCTGGCGCTTCTGCACGGTGAACTTCGGGCTGTCTTAGTCTGTCTTCCTGTTGCTGTCACTGAATACCTGATCAAGGTCATTGGTAAAGAGCAGAGGTCTACTCAGCTCATGGTTCTAGGGAGCCCTAGCGCATGGTGCCAACATCTGTGTGGAATCCTGTGAGGCCTTCTTAGGGCACTGGGACAGGGCAGAGGGCATCACGAGACAAGACACAGAAGGCATGCTCTCTTGATTCTCTTTCCTCCCCCTTACTTTCCGATTTGCTTTGTGGAACTGGGGGTTGGACCCAGAAGCTAGCAGATGCTAGGCATGTGCTCCACCCCTGAGCTAAACAATACCACCAGCCCAATTTCCTCCTCTTACAAAGCCATGAGTGCCACCACAAGGCCCCTTCAGGACCCCATCTAATTATAATCACTGCCAGAGCCCCCTCCCACAAGCACCGAGGACCTGTGACTTTGCGGATTGCCACCACACCTGGACTTTGGGGGACACATTCGAGCCATAGTGTCACCTTTCTATTCTGCCTCCTGAGACTTCCTGCCACCACCACCCACCCC